GGGGGGGGGGGGGGGGGGGTATGGGCTCTAATTCAATATTGCGACAATTCACCTTCAGCCACTCCATGTTTTGCAAATATCAGCTGGCGTTAATAAATGGTGTCTCCCAGAAACAATCGTCGTGTTGCTCAACGTAATACTGAAATCGTCTGCATTTTCCGCACGTCTTGATGCCACAGCGATATGATACTCTATCACCTCCCTGGCTGTTGTCGTCGCAATATTTTAATGCACAAGGATACCAGCTTAAACAAAATTCATAATGACAAACACACTTGCCAAGTCTGTCCGTCACAGTGTTGCATCTGGGAATTACAGAATCATTACTGTTGATGGCGATGACTGAAGAGACAAGGTTCCTGAAAACATTCTCGTTTCCTGTAAAATGAAAAAGATACAAACAAATTTAATTATATATTGCAAGTATATTATACAGTATAGACCCGTAGTCGATTCCGATTAGTCGGGACGGAGTCTCAAGACGGAAATATGCGCATTCCTTCCTCTACAGCGACTTGAATCATTGTCAGAAGGGGTAATCACGTAACTATACGAACAAATAACCAGTTCTTCTTCCCATTTGCAGAAAATCTTTCGTTTTTTCTTTCATAACTTCGTTAATATGTTATAAAACCTTTCGTGGCGTTGATATTTCTTCTTTATATATATTTTAAAAGCTGTTCCCTTGGAACCTGCGAACACGGTCACAGCTGCTGTGCCGAAGCACTCCGAAGGCGCCGCCATATTGTTTTAATCGTATATCTCATAGATATAGGAGATCTAGATTGCTAACGCATACCTAGCGCAGGCGGGGCCTACATGATAAATTCAAGATGGCGGTACAACAGGGCAAAAAGACTATATAGATTCTATTACGAAAATCAGGATTTTTGCATTTTTTGCCGTCGCATTGTTTCGAAACTTATTCGGTCAAATTTTATGGTAAAGAGAAACTTACCACGAAGATTTTGAGCATATATATGATTGAATTGGATGAAAACTCGCAAAATTATCC